TATATATTATGTATATGTATATGTATATATGTATATGTATATGTATATGTATGTATGAGATATAAGAAGAACCATCAAAGAGGTATGTTACACATATCTCAATGATAAAAACTTTGAGCAATGATATTATATATTTTAGTATACAGTGACGAAGTCTAACCATTTATTCGTAAGATTTCCAGTAATTAATTTTTTTCTTAGTTTTTACTTAAAATGTTATAATAATTAACTTCAATATAAAAATAATAATGATATGAGATGCTTATTTATTGATAACCTGAACAAAGATGTGACTTTGTTATAAGCAAAAAAAGATTGAAAAAAGAATTTTTGACATTGTTAAATTTATACATATATTGGAATAACACTTCAATTCACCAATACGCAAAAAAAAATTTCAAAGTAAAAATATTATATTTTGGAACCTCTTATTGGTTCATAATCAAGGCTTATTAGATCTTATTTGGGGGCTTAATCACATCATCACTATGTGACAAATATTTGATATGAGCAATTATAGAATTCGTACGAGTTCTTGGCGTGAAGGGAAAATGACATATAATTGTTGTGTTTATGTTAGTGGAAACACTCATTTAGATTGTGAGATCAATTATTATAGAATACTTGAAGAAATAGGAAAATTGCAATATCCAGGTTATGTTGCACGTAATGTATATATGTTCAATTGTCAATGTTTTGATCATGTTCTTAATCAAGAAACACGAACACTAAACTCTTGTTCTAATACCGAATTAAAATGAACAAAATATTTATAAAATTTGATCTATTTATTCTAGCACATCAAGTTAGCCATGTTTATTATCTTCGGTAAAGCAAGAGATAAAATTAATGGGTTGTCATTATAAACCAAGAAGAACTATTGAGATGCAAACTATTATTGAACTCATTCACCAAGAGAAAGCTATGTCAAATATATTATATTCAGCTTGATTCTATTGAAGAAATATTTACCTTAGAAGATGCAAAAGAGGCTTATGACAAGGTTTCTCAAATTATGGATGACAATGATGATGATACTAAAGAAAAAATTCTGAATTTATCATAGACTGAATCCTCTAATGAAGCATACTAAGAGTGGTATGTATATTTAGATTTTTTTTTTCTTTTTGATTTTATCTCTTATAATATTAGGTTCTACATTTCACACTGTTTGTTTTAAATATTCCTATTTTTATTTTTGATGTTCTTACATGTTGTTACAATATATTTATTATTTTGAGTTATCACTTCCCTACTTTACTTTTGTCGATTATATCATAATTCTCCTGCTTAATTTTGTTATTTTTACTTGTGTTGCTTTCGTACAAATTTTATTAATGTTTTTCTTCCTGTTATAATTAACTTTTATTAGTAATGGAGATCAGCCGCCTCACCAACCTTCCCGATGGGTTGGAGTACTTATAGAAGGACAAAGAAAATTAGTAGCCTAATTTATCTCACATAGCACCAGTGTTGTGTTGACTAACAACAATACCACCACCGCAACATCTCCCACACCTTCTATCAAAGCTCCAATCATACCTACTACTCCTTTCCAACGTTCTGCTCCTTCTATAGTAGCTCCTCTCATACATTATACTTCTAACACTCAACCACCCTTTGTTCAATATTCTTTTTGATATCCGTATAACTAATATTTCTATTTTAGGTTGTACTCTTCTAGGTCACCAATCACTTGCATCACAGAGATCATCAATAGTAGGTATAATTCTCCATATGTCACTTGAAAGTAGATCTCAATTGTGACTCGGGACATGTAATTTAAGGAGTTTGAGGCAAGATTATTTAATTTGAATTAGAATTATAATTTCAAGTTATTTTATTATATTAAAAAATATTACATACTTTTAATTTTATAGAGGTCCTTTGACTGGCTGTCAAAGTACCACCAAGTTGATTCAACCATATTTTTGAAGTTCAGGATAAACCTTGGCTAGGTGATATGTTCACCACAACACATAAGAAGGGGGCTGCCCATCTAGGTTAGTGTAGAGGTTTGGGCTCAACTGACTAGAGCCTAGACCTCTCCTAAATATCAGAGGAAGAGAATAATCAACCAATAAAGCACGAGGCTACGAGTGTCGCATTCCACATTGGAGGCTCAATCCCACATAGAGCAAATCAAAGTGAATGTTGCTAGACCGAAGAAAAAAGATGGTCCCTAACCTTAAGGGAATGAAGGAATGTCATTGATGTGGAGAAAATGATGAACCCTAAACCCCTATAACAAGAAAAAGAATTTGAAATGCATGTTTACTATAAAACTTGAAATATCAAATATCCCCTACTATATAATTTTAATTTTTAATATTATTTTCTAGACAAATTTCAGTCACCTTTCACAATTATTTTTGAATGTATATTTAAAATACATTTGGACCAATCATGAAAGTATTTTCTCCAAACTTTTACGCTCTCTTTTTTATTATTTTATAGTTTTATTCTCTCATCTTTATCTTATTCATTGACAGCGATGTATTGCTTATCCTCTCCTTCTCTTCTCCCATCTTCATTTTTAAATAGCGAGCACTAGATCCTGGAGATCAGATCTGTGTGCGGACAGCTTTCTTTCACTCATCTAATCCAGGGTTTGTCCTGCCAGAGTTTCTCGACTTCTGCCACAAGATAATGATCACTTCCACTCCGTTAAAGGAGAGATTTTCTTTGCACCCGGAGATTTAAGTTTTTCAATCTAAAGGATATTAATTTTTCTCTAGTGCACTTTCCTAACCATGTCATATTCTGTAATTTGACGCTACAGATTTGTTTTGCAATCTTTTTTCTCCATTTCGCTGGCATTTTCCATATTTTTTGCTTTGTTCTTGCATCAATTTAAGTTATTTCTCATCTTTGCATTTGATTTTTTTTTTTGTTTCCGATTAGGATTTCACAATTATCTTAGGATGGAATTTCTGTTATGGAGGTATACGTTGGAGTCTAAACTGAATACATGGAATGTAATTTTAGTTGTAGTGTTTCCGATTAGGATTTCACAATTGTCTTAGGATGGAATTTCTGTTATGGAGGTATACATTGGAGTTTAAACTGAATACATGGAATGTAATTTTAGTTGTAGTAGCTCTAGTGATAGAATTATAACTATGGGTGATCAAATTATTAAAAGGTGTGAATGTTTGAGACATCTCGGGTGTATTGTTCCAGGTGATGTGATATAGATGAGGATATTATTAGTAGAATTCAAATTGGTTGGTTGAAGTGGAGGAATGCTTCGGGTCTATTGTGTGATAATTTTATAAGATGGAGATGAGACCTGCAATGCTCTATGGATCTGAAAGTTGGCCTTTAAGAGAGAAGCATAAAACTAAGTTAAGTGTTGACGAGATGAGAATGATTAGGTGGATGAGTGACTTTACACTTAGGGACAAAATTCGAAATGAATATATCGGTGATAGGGTTGGTGTAGTTCTAGTGATAGATAAAATTAGTGAGAGTCGTCTTAGATGGTTTGATCACATTAAAGGTCAACCATCTGATGATCCGATTAGGAGAGTAGATGTTTTAGATTTAACTTATGTTAAGAAAGGCAAAGGTAAACCTAGGAAGCAGATAGACCTAGGAAGACATGGGCATATTGTATAAAATATTTATTAGAATCAAATAAAAAAATGACACTAAATAGGACGCAATGGATAAAAAGGATTTATGTAGTCGAGCCCACTTAGTGGGATAAGGGTTTTATTGTTGTTGTTGCTATTGTTTGTTGTGGTATTTCTTTCTTTTTCTTATTATGTGTATTGAAAAGGTATTATCTCAAGCAACCTATTTTTTGTCTTGTAGGTGAAGGATGTTGGGAAGGTTATCTCAAGCAACTTATTTTTTGTCTTGTAGGTGAAGGATGTTGGGAAGGTTTTTCTTGGATTTGTTGGGCTGACAAAGAGAGAGAGCACGCTAGTTGGCGTCCATGAACGAGACCATGGCCGTGCACTTGCGTGCTCTCTCTTGTTGTCATCCACTTAGCCATGCAAAATGTGTGCTAATAGAATTTCAGCGAAAACCGTGTTTTTTACCAGGTGATTACTACCTTCCAAGAGGTAATCCTTTTTGGATCACTTTCAATTTTGTTTTATAGTTTTGATTCTGCGAGTTTTTCTTGTGACTCATAAGATTTTACATTAATTTACATGAGTTGCAATTTCATTTCACAATAGAAACTTGTCAGCACTGTGATCCTCGTGCATCTGCAATGTTATCTCAACGTATAATTAATGCTGGTCATTAATAATGATAAGTAGCAGATCAATTCACATGATCCTTTTGAACGGTTTACATTTTAGTTATAACTTCCTTTGGGCTTTGCGTTAAGAAGTCTGTCAAATTGATGCATGCATGGCCTATTGCAGAGCTAAATTCTTCAAATCCTTGCCATTTTACTAGTTCGCAAATATTTTTATTTTAGTTTTGTTTTCTAATTTTACACTTTACTTTTGCTTAACTTGTTCATGTGGCATTTTTATTTCTGATGTTCATCTTCTGAGCTATTAAAATTTATAATGTGTTTATTTATATAACAGGATACCATAAGGGATATATTAACATAAGTCTTGAAAGGTTAGAATACTATATATGAAGAATATATAATTAAGGATATATTCGATTGATGATCATATAAAATCCTTCAAACCATGTATTGTGTTAATTGTGCATGGCTTGTGTATGCTTTTGCATGCATATATATTTTTCATTATGAGGCTCTAAATTTTACTGTTGGCCAACATAGACTTTGTAGCAATTGATGTAGTTATTGACAACTATAGGCAAATCCAGGTCTCACATTCTATGACAACTATTTTGGTGGCATCCAATTATATTTTTGAAAGCTAAGAAAGGTTGGCTTTCCCTGAAGGCTATCAAGTGTAAATTTATAAAAAAAAAAAAGGAATTCATAGTAACCGAATTCTAAATATTTTACCTTTATTATTCACTTAATTTGGCAGTTCCAATGATACCCATCTATTGAGTTTAGTATATATTGGGATGTAAGAATTTCAATCTCTATATTTGATGAAAAGCTTAGATTTTTCACAATTAATGGTATTATCATTTTAAAATGTTGGAGATGGTAGAGTATGGGTTCTGCCACCTTAGCTTTGCACGAAAATCTTACCCTCATTAGATGAAACAAACAACACAAGTCACCCATGATTTGTTATGTGTAAAATCAAATGAGAAAAAAAAATTCATGAGACTTTGTCTAATTGACATTATTTCATTATTTAAAAGTGAGTGACAAAAATTTGTAATTTCTTTCAATAAAAAAATATAATGCTACAAGAGTGTGAGATGTTGATAATTTGATTTTCATTGAAAGTAGCAAAGTGATGGAAAGTTAACGACAATATGATGATAATGGTAATGATAGTTGAGCGATGATAGTCTGTGATAATGGTTTTGATTGAGCGATAGCGGTCCAGCAACGGCGATGATAAATTTGTGATGGTTTCTCGTCAAAGGCGATAGCAAACATGTGACATTCTAGTGATGATAGGGGTTGAGTGATAGTGGTTTGATTACGACGGTGCCATCCATACAATGGCAATTTGAGACTATTGACTGTGCCCATTGGCTTTAAGTTTTCTTCAATAGAGTTAGACTCTGCTCTTAGCTTCTTCTTTCTTTCCCCATTCGTGTTAAAAATTAGGTCCTATTTATAGAATTTTGGGAGGGATGCTTAGTAAGTTTAGCCAAAATCTCATAAAACTCTATGAAATGGTTTGTGTTGATTTATTTTATTATAGTTTTCTTAAGCTTTCAAATGTCTTAATAACATGAAAGTGATGATGGGCTCATTAGATTTCTCTTATCGAAATACTCGATTTAATTTTAAGCATGAAAATTTTGGAGATTATTTATAAATTTTAATTAATGCTTCAAAAGCTTCTAATCATACAAAAAATCAAATCATTTTTAATATCATTGGTTTTGTGTTGTCGATATGTTTTTTTTGGCAATAAAAATTTTGAAATTAGAGTTTGGATGATCTTGAAT